TGCCATATTCACGGAAAATCTACCAGTAAAAAAGAATTCTCTTATTGCTATATTTGTACAAAAACGCACAACCTTAAAATTTAAATTCAAATTCAGCGTTGCGACCGCACGTTCCAAAACAATAACACATTTCTCATAGCATTTTTTCGGATTGCATCTCTATTTTCGTTGTCCTCTTATTACTGATATATGTGTGTGTGTGTGTGTGTGTGTGTGTGTGTGTGTGTGTGTGTATGTATGTATATCATAGAATCATCAAAACAAAACAATTAATATCATAAAGTATGTTCAGCAGATTTTCATATTCCAAATTCCTGCCGACAGGCGCTACTCGTGCGTTTTTTTCCTCTCCAACACCAATTTTGAATTCAGACTGGTTTACATCTGTGCTCTGCCGTTGACGTTCTTTCAGTTACATTTCAATTGTGATTTAGAATACATTTTTGCCAATGGCTCAGAAGAAAAGTTCCAATGCAAGTGCTAATGTTAAGCGTAAAGCTATATCGCTGGAAGATAAGGTGGAAATGAATTATTTTATTCAGAATACTGTATGTGCATATCATAAATACTGTAATATGCAATAGGGAGTGTTTATTTCCGGTTTACAGTGTGGTTATTTCGACTTACGTCGTTTTTCGACCTAAGATGTGACCTCTGGAACCAATTAACGACATAGGGCTAGGTATACCTATATGTTGACGTGTATTATACAATATCTGTGTCTTTAATTCTTCTATTTTTATTCTAAAAGAGTAAAAAAAAGAATTTTAAATATTAAATGATGGTTAATTAAGAATGTATATTTTCGCTAAATGCAGTCAATAACTAACTACATTCTAAGTAAAAACTCTTAGTTTATTTTCAAGTTTCAAATTCATTCCATAGTGATATTGAGATCGAAAATTGATTTTTCAGTGACAGAAAATTTTCTTGCGTCTTTTCCCAATGATTTCGTTTCAAAATATAATATAAAAGATCAAGATCTTTAAAAAAATAGCATAAAATCTTTGTCGAGTTAACTCTGCTTCCACTGACACAAACCTAGATGTAGGTAGAAAGCATATAGCGACACCCTTCCATTTGAGGAGAGTCTATTGAAGAAATAAATTTATTTTACATGAGCCACTTCCTTGCCTCTGCTATACACTTGTGGAACAAAGACGGAAATAAACACTAAGACAGTCAATCATCAAATGATAAGAAAATGGTTTCTGAGTCGGAGGGTCCGCGCATCCTTCCGGTTAATAAATTAATCCTTTAAAAATAAATATTTAACATTTTCAACCAATGCTTCGTGATCCCTTTGAAGATTATTTTAGTAAAGTCTCTAGACAGACAATACCAGTAACGAACGACAGTAGTTCACGACGGCCGGCGCAGCTTCAAAAATATTCCCTTACTCATTCACCAAGCTACATGACACTTACACTCTTCCTCACCATACTGCGTGACATTTACACACTTTCTCACCAAGCTACGTGACATTTACACACTTTCTCACTAAGCTACGTGACACTTAATTTTTTCTCCTCAGTTTCTACATTGCCTCTTTTTTTCCACACATACACGCGAAGAAATCACATTTCATTTCATCTTAGCAAACAACAACAAACAAGGAACTTTAACACTCATACACATTGAGAAAAATTTAGTTGTAAAAACACAAAAATAAAAATATTTTATATTTTTAATTTAAAAACCTTTCTCGCCTTTTCTTTTTAGCTTTTAAATGCTTAGAAGGAGATTAGTTAAAAAAACTGAACATATTTTGAACGCATGAAGTCAGCTTCAATTTTTTAACGAAAAAAAAACAAAACTTTATCAAGTAAAAGAACAAAAAACAAAACAATAAAATTACGTATCTAACATCACCTTTCCTAAGGAGATACCCTCCCCAAAAAGTCCTGCGGCTTCATAATTGTGATCACTCCTCGGCAATTTACAGAAAATAACTGAAGAAATTTAATAACTCTAGCTAGACAGTGTTATTTTTAAGCATGAAAAGATGCAGGAAAATAATTTTAAAACTTAGAAATTTAAGCATGACCAAGCACAGCTGAAAATTACTTAGTAAATTATTAAATAGAGTAAATATTAAAATATTTTAAATCTTCAGATTTTTTTTTTTTTAATAAAAATCCCACGTTTTACACAGCAAACGTAAGGAACGAATTAACAAAGATAATGTTTAGAAACTTTTTTTTATCGTTGATAGCAAGAATTTCTGAAAATGAAAACTTGAAGATACATGTCGACGGTAAATTTGTCGTTTACGTAATCTAGAAAAGAAAAGGTTTTAGACGCGTGCCAGCTGTAAAAAAACGGTTTTCATTTTTAAATGGAATTAATTAATAAAAGTTTAAAACAGATCCACGCTTTGCATTGAACCAGCTAAAAAAATAATACAATAATCTTAATTTTAAAGTAGGTTACATTTTCTTAATGTATTCTCTAGAATGTTATTGTTAAGTAGATTTCCTTTTTACAAGTTCTTATCGCTTTTTGTATAGAACTTTGCTTCCTTTGCTTTGGTTAAGGAGCGGAAGAATCATTTACTTGCCCGATATTCATTTTGGGGCATAAATAATAATAATAATAATAATAATAATAATAATAATAATAATAATAATAATAATTTGATCCTGAAAACTGCATGAAAAAAAAAAATTTTAGTATTGCCTGGATAGATTATCGTAAAGCATTCGATAGTGTACCACATTCCTGGATCTTAAAGTCTTTAAGTATGTACAAGGTATCACCGTTATCATCAATTTCATCAAACAATGTATGTCGATAAAAACTACACTTTACCTCAATCATAAAAATGGAAATAAGTCTGGCAGAAATAAACATCAATAGAGGAATATTTCAAGGTGACTCTTTGTCTCCTTTATTATTTTGCATATCACTTATAGCATTAACCAGCCAACTTAACAAGAGTTACAAAATAGCTCAAAAAAAAAATAAACCATCTATTTTACATGGATGACTTAAAATTGTATGCTAGGAATGACAATGAGCTGGAAGGTCTTTGCAAACTGTAAAATGCTTCAGTGAAGACATTGGAATTCAATTTGGATAAATGTGCTAAAGCTACAGTTTTACGAGGATCGCTACAACAAACTTCCTCTTTTTTAGACCCTGCTGTAACAATAAAAGATTTAGAACAAGGAAAAATAATGAGTTTGAAGGAAACCATAAGAAAATGAAAGAAATAGTTTATAGAAGGGTACGACTGGTATTAAAAACTGAATTGAATTCTCAGAACAGAATTATGGCCATTAATAACCTTGCCATCCCAGTGGTCCAAATAGTTTCAAATCTTGAACTGGACTCTAAATGACATCAGACAAATGGATTCTAAAACAAGAAAGCTTCTTTTCTAATATAAGATGCATCATCCAAAGGCTGATTTTTTTATACATACCCCGTAAAGAAGGTGGAAGAATACAAGACAACAAATACATGGAAACAAATAAATGACTGGATGATAAAATTAGTGAAACAACATGAAAACAGAAAGAAAAAATATTCAATAATAAAAGAAGGCAGTAAATACAAACAACATTTACATTTAGTAGATTCTGTAGTAAATCAAAACAGAAAAGAACCAACTATTGCAGCAAAAGATATGAAAAGAAAGCCAAGGATATTCTTTTTTGAACAGATGAAACAATGGCAAGACAAATTTCTGAAATATCCAGAACGTGCAAAAAACCCAATGTTGATAAAGTTAATACTCATCGATGGTTTCGAGCATCTGGATTAAAGTCTGAAACTGAAGGCTTTATTTTGCAGCGCAAGACCAGAGTCTTTTCACTAGGAATTTTCAGGCAAATATCATACATAATAATGTGGATCCAAAATGCAGGTTCTGTGACAAATACCAAGAAACAATAGACCATCTAATCTCAGGATCTTGCCCCAAATGAATTAAAAATCGTTAAAGTGGGAACTTTGGACAATGTGCAAAATTAAGCAAACATGTATGAACATCGGCCAGCGCCGGTTACAGAAATAGAAGATGTCACCATTCTATGGGATTATACCATCCACACAGACAGAAAAATTGAAGCAAATAGGCCGGACATTATTTCAAAAACCAGAAAAAAAACTTGCCTACTAATTGATAGATGTCCAGCGGATTTAACATTGAACCAAGGAATTTGAAAAACTATCAAAATACAAAGACCTGGAAATTAAATAGAAAAATGTGGAAATTTTTACCAGTGGTAATAGGTGCACTTGGAATTATAAAAAATGGAACAAAACAACACATTGAAAGAATCCCTGGAAACCCTTTTTTAAAGACATACAGAAAATTGTCTTATTAAGTACAGCACACACACTAAGGAGAACTTTGTCTATGTAACGCTAACTTCAGCGGAAGATAAAAAAAAAAAAAAAAAAAAAAAAAAAATTAAATGAAATGCCATAACAACACACCACGATATTAGGTCTTTGGGGCAGACTTAATAGGTAGTGTGTCCATAAGAAATAATAATAATAATAATAATAATAATAATAATAATAATAATAAGTATTATTCATTTATTTTCCTCTGGAAAAAAGAAGAAATTCAGTTAAAAAAACTATGTTGTTTTTTTTCTATCTAAATTTCGCAAGTTGACGAAAAGACTAAGACAGTTTACAGCTCCTCTACACCAATAGACTCCTCCATGATAATGAGGAAACACACCTACTGATTGCAACCAATCACAGCTTTATTCTTAAAAAAAAACTTACCCGACAAGCAGACTAGTTAATTCATTGACACATTCGTATATGTCACTGGAATGTGTGTTACAAAGAGACTAGTAATCTTTTAACATTTTTTTTAACGAAGTAACCACTTGTGTTTGAGTTGTATTTTTTCACGCACAATTTGACTTAATCAAAAGTCAAAACTCTTTGAGAATAGCACCTGTGGTATACCGCACTAATGATGTACTATTTCCAAAGTTAATACAGACGGAATTAATTTGGATATTTTCTTCAAGATGACTTCTTTAGACGTAACTGTGATAAGCGCTGAAAAATTACCAGATATTGAGAGATTTGGTAAATTGGACCCTTACTGTTCAGTACAATTCCAAGGTACAATTAACAATTACTATTTCTTTTCCAAAATGCTTTTCTTTTTTTTTTTTTGCTTCTTCACTTGTAGCGCGTTTTTTTTTCTTTTTTTATCTGACAATCTGACATTGCTTCTTTTCTGTCTTAAAAAAATAAAACTTGTCTACATAAACAAAACTCGTTGTAAATGTATATTAAACAAAAATATGTTGTCATTGAAATGCCCCCCCCCGCCTTTTGCGCACTAAATTACGGATAAAAAACGTAAAAACTAATTTTTAACTTAATTTTTATTTCGAACTGGTTCACTCGTTAAAAAAAAGGGTGGAATTTGTAGATTAAAATTTTTATATCTTCCTTAGGTCGTGATAAAAAGGTACTATCCGACGTCACTTTTAAACTTAATTAAAATTTCATAACTTTTTTATCACAAATACAGATGTGTAAAGAAAGACAAAGTAAAAATTATTTTTTACTTTTTACACATCTGTAAAAAAAAAAAAAAAAAAATACTAAAAAAAAAACGAACATTAAATACAACATCTAAGGTTATTTTATAAATGATCGCCAATATACGTAATAAAAGGTGGCGATAGATAACCCACGGCCACAAGTATTAATATTTGTAATAATAGATTTAGAAGGGGACCCTGTTTAGTGTTTTGTTTATCAATACGTACACTCTTCTTAGCAGTCCCAGTCTTCAATAAAGACTGAGTTTTTATTTATTTAAATAAAACTTTCTTGTTCTTTTATTTCAGGGTTAAAAAAGAAAACAAGAGTTATTGAAGATAACGACGTGCCTGTATGGAATGAAGTAAGTTTTTTAAATTTAAAATAAGTATTTTATTAATCTGATGAATATTTTCCCTCAAAGATTAGATCTCCAAAAATAACATTGCAATTTATTTTAAATCTGGGAAGTGACACTTGCTTGACTCATGTGCTTTTTACTTTATTTTTATAATTTATTTTTTTTTTTTTTTACCCAATTTGGTAAAAAAGCATTAAAGTTAAACTAAAAACACGTTTTAAAATGATTTGTTTGTTTACAAATCATTCACTGAATAATAACCAGGTGTTTTAATCACGTGGCAAATTTTACTGTAGTGTACTTTTAGTTTTAACTGTCAAACATAAAAATATAGTAGATCCCACCTTTTTTTTTAGGATCTTGCTCTAACTTTTTTTAATTTAGTTCGTTAAACAATCTGTTCTAAGATTCAAAATTAATTAAACAAAAACTGAAAAAAAAATTAATTTTGGTTAGAGAGATCTAACTGTTTGAAAGATTATGCTTGTTCAATATAAGTGATGGCTTTCTGTTCCTTATTTTTTTCTTCTAAGGAAGCCATCTTCAGAAGTTTAAGTTTGTTTTCACGGTAGCAACATGAACGGCACCACGCCCAAGTTAGACGAAAATAAATCTTACTTATCGTTGCTATCCACCCACAAAAACCGGCCTGGCCACTTCGTGACCGGGGAATTTTTTTTTCTTACTGTAATTTACATTCGTTTCCCAGGGACAAAAATGTCAGTATCTTCAATCCAATTACAGTACTGACTACAGTTCGTGCCTTTGTTTTTGTTTTGAAATGTTTCCAGTTGAAATTAAGACCAATGATTATTATTTAGTCTGTGTTAATGAATTATTCTGCTAAATATGACTTTCTTTGTTTTTACTCTGCTAAGCGCACGTGGTAAAATATTTAGGTTAATATGAAGCAGTTGCCATGCCATCGGGTTTTTTTTTTCTTTCTTTCTTTAAAAAGTGCATGAACTCGGGAGAAAAACAAAAACGGCAACTTTTTTATGGTTTTGACTTTTGAGTAAGAAATTGTGAAACTGCCTTGGTCTTTTACTGTTTTATTTTTTTTATTTATTTAGACAGTAGAGTAAGAAAATTGAAAATATGTCCCAAACTTAATTTTGTTTTTATTTGAAAGTACTGCAAAAAATATATTGGCGTTGGAATTTTTTTTTTTTTTTTTTTTTTTTTTTTTTTAATACTAAAAAAAAAAAACTTTTTGGGGGTTGTACAACAACACTAACAGTAACACTGACCAGAACTTATTTGTTTGTTATAGATTCTATAACAAAACAAATTCTGACTATATTCTGTTTATTCAATTGCAGTCCTTCATAGGATGTATAGCATTCCAGATCAAATTTCTAAAAATAAATAAAAAAAAAAAAGTTAATAGACGGGAGTCATGTTTAAGTTTGCTATGTAATTTCTAAAAAAAAATATTCCCTAATCTAGTGTGCATAGCCGTGGCGTGGCGTAATCAATAGTAATGAGACATTCAGATAGTGAATGTCACTCGGATTTTATTTTAAGAAATCGCTTATAAAACTTGACCACTGGAGTTGCTTACTTAATTTAGGTTCTAAAAAGTAATTAAAAAAAAAAAAAAATTTCGCTGCATATTATCGTGAACAGGCCAAATGTAGGTTGTAAATTGCCTTTTTTTTTTTTTTTTTTTTTTTTTTTCTCTATCCTTCGTGAGGCTCGAATTCCCCACTATTCGTGGGCGGGTTGAACGACCCGCTAGTTAAAATAAAATTTGAATGGTCTGTGCGATAAGTGTGTGTAGAGCAAGTATCTTTTTCAGATTTATTCGAGAACTTGTTTTCATGCTAAGCTCTGTCTGGTGAAAAGTAAGTCTTTTTCGTGACAACTCCTAAATGGGGTGGGGGAATGCCGGTTGTGTCGATTGCTTTAAAAAACACCCACGTTCTAATTATCAACAACTGACCACATATTATGCAAAAAAACAACTTAAAAGACCCCCCTCCTTCTGTCTGCAATAGGATGTTTCTGAACACCTTTAACTTTTTACTTCGATTACAACAATTTTTAGTTGAATATTTTTACTACTCTTCGGGCCATTCATTACATAACATTCCCTTGGCAAGGTGTTGTTGAAAAACATTGCCGGGTTTAAATGACTTTGTAACTGGTTTCGCTTTAGATGAAAATTGTTAAAAAAAATCAGTTTTCTCATTGTAAACTAAATAAAAGAAAGGATAAATTTCTCTTAAATTTTTTTTTTTTGTTTGTTTTTAAAGTAAAAAAAAATATTTTCACTTCAGTGTTTAGTTAGTGTTTAGAAATCAAGTATTGAACCTTTTTTTTTTTTTTTTTTTTTTTTAACACAAAATAGCCTAACTTAAAAATCTTTTAGGCCGCGGAGAAGACTCTTCTCTACTTGACAATAAAACCCGACTATTTTCTATTCTACCTTTTCGTTGCGTGTGAGTTTCTTGCTTATTACAAACAAACAGTGTTAAAAATAAACCAAGGTAACTCCGATTTTTTTTTTTTAATAACCCTATTGTCACATCGTGTGTGCTGCTCTCCATTCGTTCATAAAATTAATAAATGTGAAAACTACAGAGAATAAAGACCAGATTTTTATGGATCTGAATCTATTGTCAAATTTTAATTTATTTAATAAAATTATTAAATTTTCTCTTCTCTTTCGTTGGTGTAGGGAGTCTGTTTACTCCTTCTTTTTTTTTTTTTTTTTTTTTTTTATTTGGAAATGCCAACAACGTACAATATTCTTGACTAAAAGACTGTTTTGTGTATATTTTTTATGCAACACGTTGATTTACATTATTCGGACTATTGTCCTCATTTTTGTCGCCATATTTATCACAACGTTTCGGCCGTTGTACGCTCCGGCCTTCTTCAGGTGGTTGGAATTTCAAACTGAACTCTTTATTTCGATCACTGGGGTAGACTGTTCTAGTTCCACGTGCCATGTTTGATGGATATCGGTTATCTCCTGCTAATTTTCCCTCTGAAAGCTCTTCACTGCCTTAACCGGGTATTGAACTCACACTCTTTGGATCTGTCACTGGATCTAACTTTATCCACTGTGCCATGCTGGGTATGAATTTCTGGGTATTATAAACCTAATGTTTTCAGCAACCATTTTTACCAGTGCTCATATTGCAATTTTGCTGTTATCCTTGCATGTTTTTACCAGAGCTCATATTGCAACTTTATTATTGCTTTTCTCTGGCACTCCTTATTACTGGTTCCCATATTGTATTTATTTCTATGCTTGGTCGGCTCAGGAGATTTTTGTGGCCTAGCATATGTGCTGATTCCTTAAGTTTATGAATTTTCCAGTGGTGTTCCCTGTCTATGATCTCAACATGATCCCACAGGGGACAGTGATCTCCCTTCTCTCTCCATATGTGGTCAGCCACACCTGATTTTTCTACTTCCCCTCGCGTTACAGCTTTCTGGTGTTCTTGAAGTCTTACCTTGAGGAGGCGGCCTGTCTCTCCTTTATATTCCTTTCCACAGCTGCACGAGATAGCGTACACACAGTCTTTAGTCATGTTCTCCTCTGTGGGGGGGTCTCACTCGAGAGAGATATCTGCGAAGTGTTGTCACGCTTTTGAAGGTTGTCCTGATGTTATATGGACCGCAGATCCTTTGTATTTTCTCTGATAACCCCTTCACATAAGGCAGGCAGACTGTTTTCTGAGTGTTGTTGTCCTCCTCCTCCTCTTGTACCCGCCTACCCCAGTTTTTTGGGGCTGCTGCCATGTACCCAGGGTAGTTGTTACATTGTAGGGTACTACTTATACTGACCAATTCCTTATCTAGCATCTCTGGGTTGCCACTTATGACTTTTGCTCGGTGTTGTAAGCAACGGACGGTCCCTTTCTTTACGCTGTATGGATGGTGGGAGTTGAAATTGAGGTACTGTCCGGTGAATGTTGGTTTACGGTATACGGATGTCTTGAACCCATGCTCTGTTTGAGATATTAGTACATCCAGGAATGGGAGTGTGTTGTTACTCTTTCTCTCCATTGTGAACTGTATCGAAGGTCTTATTCAGTTCACATGGTCCAGTAGAACCTGGACATCTTCCTGGTGTGGCCAGAGTATGAAGGTGTCATCTACGTACCTTAACCATATAGTAGGCTTTAGAGATATAGATTCTAATGCCATTTCTTCAAAGTATTCCATGTATATATTCGCCATTGCTGGTGATAATGGTGAGCCCATTGCTAAGGCCTCATCCTGTCGATATGTGTGATCCCATTCCGAAGTGTGTTGTTTGTGTACAGAAAGTCATATCTCCATCAGAGAAGAAGGCCGGAGTGTACAACGGCCAAAACGTTGTGATAAATATGGCGACAAAGATGAGGACAATAGTCCGAATAATGTAACTACTGTACATAATACCTCATCTCAGAAATATAGACAGACGTTGACTACATGTTCTTGCTCAAAGTACTTGTATTGTTGATTAAATTGTTTTTAAAATGGTATCTTGTATGTTAAATAATAAATCTTCATTTTTCCAGTAAATCAATGGAAATTTATATTGTACTAGTAAAACCAACAGTACTTTGTACCCCCTTTACCTGTTTGCACTTCAACCCAAAATTTGGTTTTGATTGGTCAATGTATGTCTATTTTAGAGGCTGTGACTAAAGATCACAGAATTTTATATATAGATGACTTTCCTTATTTCTCTTAAAGCATTTCAGAAACTATTCATAGAAAGTGTATTAAAGATCTTCATTTTAAAATCTTCTGTATTGAACTTAAACTAAATTATCAGGTCCTAAAATTTTATTTTTCTTAATGGATTTAGTCAGCTCCTAAATTGTATACTAAATATTCAACATAATGTTTTAAAATGAATCTTTATTTTTGATCATCAAAATTCAAACACTAGACTGGAGATAAGACATGGTTAAAAGAAATGGGTTTTATTACCTGTAATTTACAACGTTCAATCATTTGTTCGGGGGGGGGTATTGTCTCGCTTGTCCGTTTTA